AGGATGGATGGATGGATAGATAGATAGATAGACAGACAGACAGACAGACAGACAGACCGACCGACCGACCGACCGACCGACCCACTGGGCTTATTCATATTGGGAAGTGTAGACACCCAGAGAAATTTCAGAGTTATGGAAAATTGGGTAGCAGAAAACAAGTAAGCTGGCCTCCCCACTCCCCACCCAAGAAATATGAAAAAGAAATTCTCAAGCACTCTGAGAATAAAGTTGAAAAACAGAAGCCTCTTTTACAGGGGAAGAAAGCATCTGAGAAATTGCAAGACATTAGGAGCTCCAAGTGAGGCATTGATGGAAATACCTGGCTTCAAGAGGGCCAAGTAAAGATGTGACGACATAAAAAGATAAATAAAAAAAATCTAGTTATCTCTGATAACATTCCCAGTTGCAATCCCATCTCTTCCCTCCATTTCTATCACGTTCATATTATTTAATTTTTTCCCCCCTTTTCACACATACCCAAGAAGGCAGAATAGCTGGGCAAAGGTTTTCGATTAGTGGCTTTCTGAGCATCCCATCAGGAAGCAGACGGGGTGCTGTAAAGCACTGCTTGAAATGTTAAACAGAAGCTCCTGTGGTTCTCAACAACCAGATCAGGTCTAAAGGAGGCCCAAGCTTTGCTCAGCAGCTGTCCACGCCCAGGAGACAACATCTCAAGCCAAGTCCCCCCCCCCATCCCTTTCAGATCAAGCCAAGTTGGCTAGCATCATAGACTTTGAAGCTGTCAGACAACTTACAGTATAAACTGAGGAGCAACAGAAAGATCAGAACTGTGCTGGTGTTAAAAGTAGGACATCCACTACAGTCAACTTTGTACTTTGTGCAGGAGCACACTTGGATTTTCAGTTCTGTATTATTAGTTAAGGGAGGGTTCCCGGGATCCGTCACCAAGATGGGGATGATATAATTGGCCTTCTTCAAATTGGGGGGCACGGCAACTTGGCTGTGGGTATCTGCAGGAAATAAGGAAGTTATCATTGGGGGGTTGCTTTAACATTGCAGAATACACTGTAGTGCAGTGTTTTTCAAACTTGGCAACTTGAAGTTGTGTGGACTTCAACTCCCAGAATTCCCCAGGGTTGTAGTCCACACAACTTCAAGTTGCCAAGTTGACAATCACTGCTGTAGAGTAACAATAGAAATGGGGGAAAATCAGACTAAGCTACAAGACAGATGGTCCAGAAGTCAAACCTTGCCCCAGCCAAGACCATCTTTAGCAAGCCCCTTACTGCTTACTCCCATTTATTTGCAATACGAGGATAATAATATTGCCTTATCATAAAATGTTAGTTTAGGGTTTATAACTAGATAGGACCCATGAAACACTTTGAGTGCTTGACAGAACCGTGAAAAGGTCCACCAGGGAACAATATTCTCCATCTGTCTTTATGTATACACGTAGGCTTCTAAGAACTTTGCACAGCCCTCAGAAAGAAGTAAATGGGAGGATACGCTTATCTTGCAGGTCTGTGCAAATTGTCCACAAATTTCGGACCGGGTCATTTAAGAATTTGCAAAACTCAGAGCCCTCGCCCTGTCTTTCTCTCTCTCCTTACAAGAGGTGTTCAACCATGCATGCAACA